GGCGCGGCCTCGGCAAACGCTGCCGCGTCCGCTACAAACTCCCAGCGCGTAGGGGGTGAAGGTGTTAGCGGGTTGCTTGCGCTGGCCAGAGCAGAAAGGTAGAGGTGCCCAGATGAACTCTCGTTCACCTTTTGGAAATAACCTGTTTTGAGTCAGGCTTTGGGCTGAAGGTTATCCCGGCTGTCATCGTTTTTGAACTCCAAGACTTGAGGTAAACTCGCTGTTTCCGTCGGAAGTGGCTTCATTTCCTCTCCAATGCTCCTTTTCATACGGCGCCAGCATTTCATGTCCAGGTGCTGTTCTAAGCAGCTGGGGGTGATGCTGGAGGCTAACGCAAAGAAAAAACCTGTCTCTGCACCCCTGGGCAGCTGGAACATGAGATGGCACCTGGGATTCGTTCTCCGATGGCAGGCTGCTGCTCGAAATGTGCCTGAGTTGTTACCGTGAGAGCACTGTGGCGCTATTTCTGCAGCCTGAGAGAGAAATGGCACAAGGCTGGCAGCTCGCTGTGGGCATTGCCCGCTGTGGCTCCTCTGTGGCAAGGGCTCCTTCTTACTGCGCGGGCACCAAGTCCCTGCTTATCAGGGGTTGTGCTGCAGGGGGGCATCTTCCGTGCGATGCCTGGTGTTAGGGTGCAGAATGGATTCCTGTCCCTGCCTTTCATATTGGACTCCTTTAAAGTCCTCCCTGCCTTTTATATTGTTCATGTCTTCCTGCATGAGCAGGGCAGAGACCAAAATGGTCTCTGTGTTTCTTTATGGGTATTTAAACCCACATGAGGGGAATAAATAGCATGTTCAGTTCTGTAATGAAGAAAGAGGGAGGAGGCTAAGTCTTTGGGTTATTATTTTATCCCATTTTTGCTTTTCCCATAGGAAAAGCTGCTTAATGACAATAGCTGGCATCTGGCCTGTTAGTGATTCATAAATATCCCTTATTCATTCATATTATTTATTAAAAGAAGAACCAAGTAAATGGCAAAACACTATGTCTCAAAGCGATACACTCAGCCAATATATGCTACCTTGCTTTGTCTGGCGTTTTGGTTTCTATTCATATGTTGTGTCTTATTCACAGCTGGGCCTTATACCACATAGATGTACATGTATACACGCATAATTCTTTTTCTTTGTGAATCATCTTGTAGTCTTATAGGCAAAGTTATGAATCTCTTCACAAAATTGCGTCTCAGATACTCCCAGCTTTAGTCATAAATTGGATTATAGCAAAGGTAAGGTATAATGCAAAGCAATAATAGAACATAATACAACTGGCTGACAGCAGGCCAAAACATCACACTCATTTTTCTAGTGTATCTGTGTGGAAATTTCTATATTGGCTCTCTTTTATGATAATTTAGAGGGAAGGAAGGGAAACCATATTGCCAATTTCCCACTTTCCCATTTCTGAGTATGGGGCTACCTGTCAACTCTGACTTCAGCCTTTCTTGGCATGGGGAGTAGCTATCCTTTTTTATTTATAATACTGTTTTCCTTGAGGAAAATCTTGATCTCAACCTTCTGCAGTTTATTATTGCCTGAGCCTGTGGAGCTGTTCTCCAGTTCATATTGACCTGTACATGGCAATATTTTAATTTTATAAAAACGTAACAATTCCTCAGGTTTTTAAGAAGAAATCAAAGAGGAGCTGCCAATCAAGAGACCTATCATGACTGGCAGTCCATGTAAGAGACCTGCCTGGAGTGACTGTGAGTATTTTAGGACTGTTTTTGCATAGGTTCCCGTGTTTTCCTGGATGACTTCCAGTTTCATTTGCAGCATTGTGGTGTGCATGCTGCTGGCTGTGTACAAGCCATTCTGAAGCTGTGCCAGTCTCACCTGTGCTGTATATGGGGTGCCGTGCTGACCTTTCTGTGTTTTCAGAGGAGGAAACTGGGAATGAGTGTTCAAGTGACTATAAAGAGTGCCTGACTGTATACAAAGCTCAAACAGCTGTAAACCTTCACCTGTCTCTCTCTAGAGTTAACATCTCTCACTGCTGCTTCTGTTTTGAGTGGAGGAGGAGTGGTGGTAAAATGTCAACCTTCACAGGCTTGCCAGCCCAGTGCCCTGCTTGTAGGACTGGTGACTGTGAAAGAGCTGGTGTCAGTCTGCACCATATAGCAAGCTACTGTCACTGAGAGATGATTTCTGAAGATACAGTCTCATTTCCTTGATGTATTATTAACTGAGGAACAGTCTGTCTAATGAACCTTTGTAACCAGGTCAGTTGTTGTAACATTTGGTCTTAGCAGAGAGTTCTGATCATATTCCATACTAGACTGAAGGTTATTTTTTAGTCATTAAAGACAGAAGTACCCTTCTTTATATTTTGGGCCGGTTTGATCCATGTGGTACATTTACAGCTAACTTGCAGCATGTGGGCAGTGGGGGACTAGGATACTCCAGAAAATGTTGATGCTGGGGAAAAGTGGACAGAAATATCAAAAGTCCACAGAAAATAAACTTAGATACAGCAAGGGTATTTAATCAACTAGAGCCAGCTTAGCTCGTGCAGAGTATTTTGGGAATGAACAGGAAATACCAAAGTCCTCCTAGAAACTCTGTGCTGAGGAACAGAGGCATTACTGTTGTCGTCGCTTCCATTTCTGCCTCAATCACTCTAGGCTCTGGGCTGTCTCTGCTGCCAGTTTCAAGTGGAGCTCGCCCAGCCAACTATACATCGGTGCTGGGATATGTTGTTCTGTAGAACTTAAAATGAAACTGGGCCTTCGTGTCCATGATTTCCTGTGCAGGCACATGATCCATCACAGCCTGGAGCAGATACTGCCAGTACCGTTGTTTACACTTGAGGTAAACAATGTGAGGAGAGGGAGTTTCACCAGCCTTGCAATAAGGTCAGGATCTGCTGCTAGCACTGCTGTTGCTTATGGTAGGAGTTCAACATATAATTGTTAAGAAATCCTTGTTTATTGCATAAGGCTTCTAATGTGCATGTAGTGATGGTCTGACGATCGTTGAATGCCTATTATGAGTTCTGATTCCCAAGATTTAGGAGAGATGTTCTAGGAAGTGGAAGAACTACCATTTGGCAAACGGGACTTAGCTTTCAGGACTTTGATTTCAGCATACAAGAGACATTTTCTTAAATAAACTGAAGGTAGATGTATATGGATGAATAAAAAGACATAACAGCAAGTAGATGTGTAGGACTGAGAGCAGCTTTCCAGATTCAGAACGTTGTTCAGTATAACAAAAGAAAACAAGAGGCGAGACATATGTCTACAGAGTACCACAGAATACAGCTAAAGAAAGGAGACAATTCAAGTGAATCATTTGGTTCAAGTATAAATGTTGTGTTTCCCTCATTTCTCTTTACAACAGATGCCTTTGATTCAAAGCACAGAAAAGATCCTGAAGACTCCCACGAGGCCCACCAGAAGAAGTCAAAAGAGAAGGAAAGGAGACTGGCAGTCAGTCAGTGGGACATGGATGTACAGCCCCTCATTTCATCTTCTAAATGGCTTCAACTTCATGGGCTCAAAAGAAATAAATTGTCCCTATCCCAGATTTTGTCACAGATTGGATTCCAGCACAGGAAAGGTACAAGACAAATCAATAATAGAATAATTAAAAAAACCCTGACTTTCAATAGTCCATAGGGTCATGCTCATTTTGCACCCCAGCGTGCACAGAGGAGATTTTCATGTTGTCTCTTACCTTATGATAATGGCAGAAAGAGAAGCTGTATCCACAGTTGCTGACATTGCCAGTTCAGAGAACTGAGGAGCTCCATCTCCTTTTGATCTGAGAAGGACTCAGGATCTGAGCAGGGCTTTCCTTACTGAACTGTACTGTTGCTTTACCCTAGGCTCCAGTTCAAATCCTCTCCAATTTAGCTATAGATAACACACCATAAGGTCTCTGTCCATTTTTATATGGCAAATATAATGTACGCCATGCCATAATCTGTGATCTACTAGTTGATCATCAGGGCTAGCCAACCTGCTTGGGAACAGTATATTATTTCTGGGAATCTAGATTTAAGGAAGCAGTTAAATTTGATTAGAATTCAGGCTGCTTTTTGTGCAAAGTCAGGCTATAGAAAAATGTTCCTTTGCAGTTATCTGACAGCTGGAGGGGAAAAGTTTGCTAATAATTATTAATCACTGTCATAATAGTGCTTTGCAGAGTATGGTAAGATATTATTTTCTTTGAAGAGCTTGCTGCCTAAGAAGTAGGAATTGTAATGTACTGCAGTTGTTCTAGGTTGCATAATTTAAGATTTTGGCTGGCTTGTGCCCATGGGGCATTCAAAGACCAGCAGTGCAGATCCTGAAATCCTGTATGCTGTAGATGAAGAAGAAGCTGTTAAGCAGGGTTAATGTTGTTACAGTGTAATTTTAGGAGCAGATCGTACTAGCTTAGCAGGGCCGCATGCTGTACAGAATAGCTGCTTTGTGATGTTAAATATTCCCACCTATCAGCGGAGATCCTGTAGAAGATTTCTAGCTACTGAAAGAGCAGAGTGCAACCTTTTCCTTAGTTGCACCCACTTCTGCAGCCATTTAGTTGTGTAAGAGAACAGCATTATCTGTACCAGATTTTGTATTTTGTTTGATGGACAAATATTTGCAAGTCCTGTCATGAGGTAAATGGATAATACAGAAGTTTAAGTGCCTAAACCTTTCATTTATTGTACTCCCATGTAGCTTTTTGGGCTATAAATAATTAAATGCAGGGTTTTTCCCCGCTTCTGACTAAGCTGGCAGGGAGCAGCAAGAGCAGGGCTGCTCCATGGAGGAAAAATGAGCCAGGAGCCAAAGGGGACCACAGCCCAGGCAGTGCCCTCACTGACCAGGGTGCAGTCCTGCAGCATCTAAGCACCGCAGGCAGAGCAGGGTGCTGCTGACAGTGTCCACAGACAGTCCCAGGCAGGGTGAGGTGAGGAACCATGTCTAGGGTCCAGCCAGGGACCGCAGCCAGGAGCAGCAGGAGATGGAGCCAGAAATAAGACTGGAGACAAGGCCACAGCATAGGTCTAAGATCCACATCCAGGAGACAGAACTGGAGACAAGGCTATAATATAGCACCGAGGGGTCTGTCCAGGAGAGAGGTCCACTAGCAGAACTTGAGACAGGTACACCTACGACACAGCTAAAGCAAAGACTGGGTCCCCAGGCCTGAGCACCCTGTGAATGGAAACCCCAGGTGAGGCTGATCACGGCAATCAAGGCCTGTTGGTGCCCTCATGGCCCCAACATAGAGATAGCCAGAAAAAGTTGTAAAACAAAACAATAATTAGAATTTCTCTCAAGTTTCTTAACGTCAAGAGTTCCAATACAGATATGTGTGGCTCACACAGGGATGGTATGCACATCAACCGGAAAAATACCTGTTTGAAGTAATCCTTACGATTAGCAACTTGATCTTTTGTAACCTTTACTGTAGATTATGTGACCACCTTGGGGAAACTTGTGGCTTCTCGGTATGCAGATGGTCTGTTTCCTCAATACAAGAGAGCACAAGATGGCAGTGTGTATAACGTAAGTCTGACTGATTTGTGGTAACTTTCCTATGCACTTAGAAGTTATTATCACTGTAGCAGAATGATGTGACTAAAATATCTCCCTATGGCATGAAATACTTACATTCTTTGTGAGAACTTTATCTTTTGGTCATTTTTTTTTCTGTTATGGCAAACTGTTAGTGATAATAACCTGTGGTAGAGAAGCTAGATACCTTTTTCTTTTTTCCCTTGCAAAGTCTTACGCTCTTGCCTTGGTGCAGCATTGCAGTAAATCTTTCTAGACAAGACAGTTTCTAAGCAACATTTACCCTGTCTTGAAAGAGGGAACACTTAAAAAGAAGATGCTCAGCTGAGTTAAAAAAAATAAAATCGTAGTCAATAAAACAAATGGGGATGCTGAAATAAGAAGACATAATGAGCTGTCATTGCTGATGCAAAGCGCTGCTTTGCTTGGTGCCAGCAGGTCACAAAAGGCTCAGCCTACTCTATAGAGACAGCTAGCTGGATCTCTGCCCAGGCTCATGTTCTAAGGAATGTCTTAGCAACAGCTGCTGGCGGCCCCATTGTTAAAAGGATGGATTCTGATTGAAGAGAGATGCATGTGAGCGAGGAGGGGAGAGAGTTAATTCATAAAGGATTTTACAAAAGCAAATGGCTTGTAATTTTTTCTGATAGCCAGAGTCACTTCTGAGGCACAAGGCCTAAAGATGGGAAAGGAACCATTTCAGGGAGCCTTTTCCCCTAATTTTTTCCCATTAATTTCACATTAAATATCTACATAATACCTTTTAATCTTAGAACATGTTGGGAGCTGTGGGAAGGACATTTCTGGCAGCATTAAGGTAGCAATGCCACTATACAAGATCTGGTGAGATCTCATTTATGATATTGTGTACAGTTACCACAGGCTGAGAAGAAGCAGTTCAAACGAGAACAGGTACTGGGAAGAGCAAGTAGGATGAACTGCAATGGAGTGCTGATCTTATAAGACGGCTTGGTTGATGTTGAGTATGTAAGACTGAAGAAGACTGACAAAGGGTAGCATTATTGCCCTTGAATGCCTACAGAAAGGCAAATTACAGGGATAGGGAAAAGTTATAGTTTTCTATGCTAAAAGGCATGCTAGTCCAAGAATAAATGGGTATGAATTGCTATGAATAAATTTAGGCTGGGCAGTCAGAAGTTTTCCAGCCCTTGGAGAAATGGGAATCTGGACTGGCCAACTACAAATGAAGGGGTGGTGCAAGAAAACTGCTTGATTTTAAGATGGAGTTTGATTGATGTACTCCAATAAGCTGCTTTGTATGAGTCTGGCTGTCATAAGAAGAAACTGGATTTTCTGAGTGCTCCTTCCCAGGCCTACATTCCTTTGGCAGGCAGCCTGAGACTCTGTATCTGGGAGGCACATTACAGGGCCCTAGCTGACATTAAAGAACAGAGAAAAGTACAGATGAGAGGAAGAACTGTGCAGACTGACACATAAAGTATCTTCTCCCTGATAAGTGTTCTTGTTTAAAAACATTTGTATCTCCAAGATTTTGTACTTAGTCCTGGAAAGGTAGTTGGAGGTAGAAGCTAAATTAGCTTACATGGGTCAGAGATACCGGGGGAATGTCTTTACTGGAACCTGTGGTGAATTTTTAAACACACAAATCATTTTTCATGGTGAACGTGTATACCTATATTCATAGGGAGGGTCTGCTGTCTTTCATTTTAATACTGAATCTAGGTTTTTCTTATTTTACTGATATGGTATGGGAAGTTTTAATTGTTGATTGCAGTTGACTGAACTAAATTTGCCTGAGCACCTACCCACAAATAGTTAAGCTGTAATGCTGGGCATTGTTAGTGAAGTAATAGTACAAACAGGAAATATTTTACATTTTCCTTTCAAATGCTAAAGACAAGGTGGGGATTGAAGTGCCCCAGAACCAAACCGTATGCTCCCTTGTATCGCTGTACAAAATTTTAAGAGCCAGTCAAAATTCTAGTCTAAGAAGGTACAAAGTTTCTGTGTCCTTGTTTGTTTACCCATCTGTTCTGCAGTCCTTTCTACATCCTAGCCTGTGTTCAGCTCATTCTAATTGCTCCAGTCTTGAGACAGACAAGTCAGGCAACCCACTGGCACTGTCCCATGCTCGTATAAAAAGATAATGAAAAGCAATTAGAGCAAAATGCAGTGTCTTTTCTATTATAGCTTAGATGCATTTGTCAAGTATTTGCTCTTGAAATAGTGGAAGAAGAATGGGGTTTTTTTCACTGCTACCTTGGCTGGCATATCTGGCAATTGCAGACCAGCTATTGCAGCTGTGCTAAGCTTGGGGCTGCATTTGTATTATTTGTTTTGATGTTCAGTTTCTTTCTCTCCCTTATTTAAATAAAGCTGACAGCCAAAAAAGAACTGATTCTTCATTTTCTGGATTGTCTAATGGGAGCTATTGAGTTATATAAGCAGCGAATGGAATGGTTAACCAGTGAGAGCCGGCAGATATTTGGAGTGATTCAAGAACGTTGCATTGTCATTGTTTTGGATTTTGGTACTGCAGCTCCAACTGAATTTGATCTATGTCGGGATGCACTTACTATGGTACTTCTGGAACAGGTGACCCAAATTGCCAAATTCAACCTCATTCGGTAAGCAGAAAGAATCATAGAGTCATAGAATCACAGAATCATGTTTGGGTTGAAAGGGACCTTTAAAGGTCATCTAGTCCAACCCCCCTGCCCTGGGCAGGGACATCTTCAACTAGATCAGGTTTCTCAGAGCCCTGTCCAGCCTGACCTTGAGTGTTTCCAGGGATGGGGCATCCACAGCTTCTCTGGGCAACCTGTTCCAGTGTCTCACCACCCTCACAGTAAAGAATTTCTTCCTTATATCTAATCTAAATCTACCCTCTTTTAGTTTAAATCCATTACCCCTTGTCCTAACACAAGAGGCCCTATTAAAAAGTCTGTCCCCATCTTTCTTATAAGCTCCCTTTAAGTACTGAAAGGCTGCAGTAAGGTCTCCCTGGAGCCTTCTCTTCTCCAGGCTAAACAAAGAAGTCCATGTCTGCCCATTGCTGAAGAATAAAAAGGAGTCTCATGTCATATAGACTTGTGTTTGGATGATATGCTTTCTGTAGCAGAATTTGTCCTGATTCATGTCATGGTAATAGCTATAGATCTTCCACCAAGTTTCACCCACAGTCATGCTGAGCTTGCTACTTCCATTTAACAGAAGATCTTTGTTACCCTGAAGAACAGATAAAGACTAACAGAACTGATAGATATATACTGATATAGGCCTTCTACAAATGTAGCACAGAAAACCAGAAAGATCAGGGGGACTTTATGATAGCAGTAATGCTCTTCACACATCTAAGTATTACCGAGTGAAACAGGGAGGTCCCATCTGACTGCCTAGGCACTCTTGTGTCTTTAGGCGTTACAGGTTTCTGCCTTACAGCTAAATGTACACTCCCCCAAGTGCCATAGGCACAGGCATAGTCATTTGTATTTCTATGGATTTCCATGGTCACAGAAATCAGTAGCAGAACTAGGAAACAATACTGGATTTCCATAACAAAAGACAACTGCTTGTTCCCTAACATGAGTAAGTGAATCTGGGTTTAGTTACAAATAGAAGAATAGAAGCAGCTATTCAAATTTATGTATCTCTGCACAAATTCTCATATATGCATAAAAGTTTGAACGCATAAGCTTGGGTTTGGATAGATGACTGGAATTTTGTGACTATGAAAAAAAGATGCACTAATTAGTTCATATGATTTAAAAATTGGTTCCACAATGATAATTTGTGACTATACTGTGGTTCTTAAATTTGTTTTACCCAAGCTTTGTCCTACAGATTTGATTCTGGTGCCCTATCTTAATTCTCTACACGACTGAGATTTGAAAAGTAGAAGATAACTTCCATAGCTTTTGAGAAGCACATAAAACATTTCCTTTACAAATGATCTGCAAAGCCAAGTCAAAATTGAGGCACAATAATTGTGTTCATTGATTTGTTTGCGCAGGAGGGAGACAAAGGACAATATAGCATATAAATTATTACTTTAAAAGAATCTTGGAAAACATACTTACCTTTTAGATATGCAGGAAGCTCTTCAAAATAGTGCTTGATGGAATGTCACAGATACTGGAACCAATTGGTTGTTTTATTTGCTTTCTGTCTTTTTATGTACAAAGTGCATTTGTACATACAGGCATACATGCTTATATACTTTGTACTTCTGTACTGCCATTAAGACTGAGGCCTTTGATCAATTAAAAAATCAAAAAGCTTAGCATCACAAGTTTTATTTTGATGGGTAGATAAAGATCAGCCCTACGACAAAAAAAGCACGTCAGTTAAAATGATCTGACACAAAAGTCATGCAGCAAGTTGTGGAAAGAGACCTATGGAAGCCAGATTTTTTTTTCATACACATATTTTAAAAACTTGATTGTGTTTTTGTGTTAAGGGGAGATATGAATTAGAAACTGTTTTTAAAGCACTTTAGCTCTCTTGACCCTACTTTGGAAACAGTTGTCTCAAAAAAAATTCTTATAAAAATTACAGTATTTTTGTAAGGGTTTTATTTTTCCTCTACTTCTCTTATTGCGAGTCTAGATTTAGTATCTGTGGTTTACTGTAATTATTACTTAAGAATATAAAAGAATAGTAACAATAGCAGAGCTCCACTCTTTTGCTCTGCCAACATTATTCTCACTATTTCTGATTTATAGTTAATGTCATTTTCAGGGCTGCTCAGGATCTTATGAAGTGGCAACAGAAATCTACTCCTGTGTCTGAGCATACTGTAAAGTCTGCTGTTACGTGGCTCTGGAAGCTGGACCATATGACAGCTGCCAGCCATACCAACTCTGCTGAAGCCCTGCTGGAAGCCATGAGTGATGAGGCGGTAAGCTCATACATCTTTTCAGAAGTCTCAAGTAAATCCAAGAATATTCAGTGCCAGACTGGCTACTGTGATTTGCCCTGATGAATATTGCAAAGATAAATATTAATGATGGCATTTGAAAAGGTTTTTTTTTCCCCAAGTGTATCTGCATACTATGTTTACTGATGCCCTCTTTATGTAAATGTACTGTATTTTGAATGCAGAAACTTGTTTATTTTCTTTTCTAGAGTCCACAGAATAAATAACATATTCAATCATT